TCCAAAATATCCTCTGGGTTTGTTTTTTTTTTCTTGAGGAAGTCTGGTTTACTTTTTTTCCTGCAATCAGTACACTTGATGACATTCCTTCTCCAGGTGTCTGCATGCTTTCTTCCAAAGGGAAGTTATAAAACTGAGTGACTGAATGTATAATCCTTAATAGAACTAGATTTATACGGATGGAAGTAAGCAGTAAGGTACCCCAAGATTCTGTCTTAGGCTCAGTACTCTTCAATATCTTCATAAACAATTTAGATAAGAGAATAGAAGGGGAACTCATCAAATTTGCAGACAATACCAAGCTGACAGGAATAGGCAACATCCCAGAAGATAGGCTCAAGATCCAGAAGGATCTTGACAGACTTGAACACTGGCCCTACCTAACGAAATGAATTTCAACATAGAAAAAAGTAAGAATTTACACTTAGGCAAGAAAAACCAAGTGTACAGGTACGAATAAGTGGAACCTCACTAATAGCAGTAACTGTGTGAGGAATCTCGGAGTGCTAGTGGACAATCACTTAAATATGAACCAACAGTGTGCTGCAGCTGCCAAAAAAGCCAACACACTTCTAGACTGCATTAACGGAGAGATAGAATCAAGATCATGTGAAGTACAGGTAATTCCCAATTTACAACAGTTCATTTAGTGACCATTCAAAGTTATAACATCACTGAAAAAAGTGACTTACGACCATTTTTCACAGTTACAACCTTTGCAGCATCCCCATGGTCATGATCAAAATTCAGATGCTTGGCAATTGGTTCATACTTAGGACCCTTGCAGTGTCCCAGGGTCATGTGATCATTTTTTGCAGCCTTCTGACAAGCAAAGTCAATGGAGAAGCCAGATTTGCTTAACAGCCAGGTTACTAACAACCAAGTTACTAATGCATTTTAATTTATTTATTTTCAGATTTTGAAATGTTTAGAGGTTAAATTTTGTTTTTCTTCCTTTTGGAAACTAATTAGACATCATGAATATCATGCTGTCAATGTCATCATCAAATTGCACTTTTTATCAAGATCTATAAAAGAATCCTGAATTGCTAGTTTGCATAGAATAGCACCATATCATATATTTTAAGGTATAATAATTTTACCTATTTTAACTTAATAAATTTAAGTTAAAGACTAATTAGATCCTGTTCTTTGTAGACAGAAGGTGTAATAGGAGTTTTTGTCATTGCTTTCATTCTGGATACAAGTGGATTTAGTTATAGCTTTGATATATGAAGTATGATAAGGACTCTCCTGCCTGCCATCTCCATCCCTATGGATATTGAAATGTAACATAAAACAGCTCTCTACATAAGTCAATGTTTAGAGATAGCCTTGGAATAAATAACCCTGCATTTCATGCCAAGAACCATAAAGCTTGGGTAATTCATGAACAGTCCAAGAGTAGAAATTCAATTATGAATGCACTTTCAGGCTATATATACTTCTGATTTATATTCACTTTTAAGATTTGGGTCTCAGAAAGTATTAGTGTCCAAACAAGTTCCTACAAGAATAATTTCTGTCTCTGTGTGTGCCTCTCTCTCTATCTCTCTGTATCTCTCTCTCTCTCTCTTAAAATAGTGGTACCTATTTACTGTTTTTTTGTTGGTGGTGGTTTCAATGTACATTGCTGCTGTTTTTAGAGGACATGTAGGAATATATAACTGTATGTCACCCAAAATTCATATGCCCAACATTTATCCAAATTAGGCCATGTTTGCTAGGTCACATTATATTTGCTTAGTCCAAGCAGCAAATGGAGTGGATTGAATTCCATTTTAATATCCATCCTCCACACTTCTTTTTTGGTCTTAATTGCTTGTTGTTTGTCACCTTGCTCATTTTCTCTTTGCATTCCTCTGGTGGTTTGAAGTCATAGCTTGACTGTAGAGGTATTAAATTGTGAAGACAATTGGACATATCTGGCTGCAACATACTTCAAGGAAGCAATCAGATATGAAATGTCTGTTTGCAGATCCTCTAGGCACAAGAAAACAAATAGTTGGGCAGAGGAATCTTTTAAATAATTCTTTATACTTCTGGAAATTAGGAATGTGCGTACTTAAAAAAATAACTTGAAAAAAATATTGCTTGAGCAAGACCATTCATTCATATGTCCATTAAAGCAGCTGAGGAATTTTTATGCTTCTGTGGCAGCCTTGAAGAAAAGATTTGGGTGTTTTAAGAAGTCATCTTGTTAAAAATGTATAAAGCTACTGCACATGTTGAAAGCATGAAAAAAGAGTCATTTTAATGATGAATAGAGAAGTAGGTCAGCAACACTGAGAAAACTTAAGGTAACATTGGTAATTTGTCAGTATGTATGCTTATTAGTTTATAAATTATATGGCAAACATATTGCAATTAGAAGGGAAAATAACACTGCCCTCCAGAAATAGTTAATCCAATATTTAAAAAGTTTGTATATTATTGGCTCAATTTCAAGTCTGATTAAAAGCACAAACATTCTTGGTGAGGAATACCACTGTATCAACTCAACAGTTTCACTGAGGGAAGACCATCTAGGTTTGCCAGTATGAAAGCCTTTTAATGGCATGAAACTATATAATTGTCAGATGCAAAGAACCAAATTCAAACTACTTTATTGTATTTTGCATATAATATAGGAATGTCCACAGACTGCTTGCATTCAAGGGAGCTCTCATAACCTAGCTTTATTTCAAAACCTGGGTTAATGTAATTTGGAGAAGGGCTGTTTTTTTGTTTTTTTGTTTTTTGCTTTAAATTTATATGCCGCCCTTCTCTGGAGACTCAGGGCGGCTTACAATGCGTTAAGCAATAGCCTTCATACTTTTGTATATTTATACAAAGTCAGCTTATTGCCCCCACAATCTGGGTCCTCATTTCACCTACCTTAGAAAGGATGGAAGGCTGAGTCAACCTTGAGCCTTGGAGAGATTCGAACCTGCAGTAATTGCAGGCAGCAGTTGTTAATATCAGTGCTTTAGTCCACTGTACTATAGGCTCTGTTGTGGCTTTTGTTGCCTTTATGATTGTTTTTGTCAGGGCTTGTGATTTTATATTTTCAATTATTTTTGCTGTTCTTTTGGCTTTGTACTCTGCCCAATATCCATCAAAATTGGATGGCTTAATAAGAGTAACCAACTAAACAAATTTTTTATTTCTGTTCTGGAAATGAAAAATTTCCTGGGAGCAGGAATCACTCCTTTCTTTTCTTTTGATCTATGACCTTAAATAAATGAATATTTTTTTTAAAAAAAAAACATAGCTTTATGAACAGCAGTCACTGGTGTAAGTATGCTCTTTGTCAAATCAGGGTTTGAAACAGTTGATCTCTATTTGTTGGGTCAGAACTGCACTTTGTGCATCACTGCATTAATGTAATAATAGAAGTTATGAAAGATTATCTATGTTGCATTGTGTGCATGTAGCCTGCTTCTGTTGATAGGTGCTGGATGAATTTCCGAGTTAAACTTCATGCATATTCCAACTTATTATATTATAATTTGGAGCAGAAAAAAATTCTCAGTTTTGAAATTTCTGAAATATTTATGGTCAGAGTCTTAACCTTTAGATGAAGGGAAAAATAACTTTACAAAGGGAAATGGAGGAGATGCAAAAGTGTGTGTAGTAAATAAACAAGTTGCTAGTAAATAAATAAATTAAAACATACTGTCTTTTCCCCCTTTCCAGACAGTGAACTTTTCGTCTGAGTTTCTAGGAGCTGAGCCATTTAATACTAAATTTGATGGCTAAATATGTCAATTCCTATGTCAAAAATCATGTCTTAAGCCAATTAACTAGAAAATGGTTAAAATGTAAGTACAGAAGATTGAAATGACAGAAGAGAGATTCATTTTCAACTCCATCCTGGCATTGAAGTCCCTCCTAAAATAGTCTCTGAGTTTGGAAAATAGTCAGCTTCTAATCTTCAAGAATATCTCAAATTCTGATGGTTTTTGAGACAAGCCTGAAAGGAGGAAGATATTGTTAATTAGGTTAATTAGTAGATATAAGTATATACTGAGTGGACAAGGGTTAACACAGTTACACAAAGTTTGGAAAAATTAAGTATGACAATACCCATGTGAGTATGAAAATCCTTCAGACTTTGTATCACTATCAATGAAGCAGATGTATAGTTTAATTCTGTGGCACTGAGCTCAAATGTTTCTTGGAGAAAAAAAAATTCACTCCACTCTAAGAGTAAAAGAAAAGCTGGATCTTCAGATTTATCCCACTATACAGTGATATTTGAGGAAAGCAAGTGGACAGGTTGCTGGGAAGGCAAGTATAATTTTGCAGACGTGACACTGAGGCAATTCTAGTGAGGTCTGTGTCTTCTTGGCCAGAATTAAAAACAGAAGGTGTAAGTAATTTGTTTTCAAAAGCTGGCATACATAACCTTGTAGATTTAGGATATGTTCCTGACTTGACTTTATCCCAGCATTATTGCATGTAAATTCTGTAGCCTCATTTCTAATAGAAATTGTGCATAGTCTGAAGGGAGATCTACTACTTCTTATAAAAGAAACTCCACAGGTTTGAACTGGATATGGGAATGAGGGGGAATTGTGTGTACTTTCACATAATGTAATGGTCACTGTCCAAAGAGAAAATAAGAAATAAAATGAAATGCAAAAATAAAAATAATCCAAACATTGCAACATGTCAAGTAAGAACACTACATCTTATGAAATCTGTTTTATCTCATAATTTGGGTTCATTTGAAAATATCCATCTATCAATCCATCTACCTACCCATCCTGCTATCTAGGTATTACCAAACAGTTCCACATAGTTGTATGTTTTAACTATAATTCAGTCTACCTTTTCATAATTGGCAAAGAAAATCTATCAAAATAGATAGGAAGCCCATTTTCATTGCTCACTAAAGTATTTCTGTGTACTTTTTCTTTTCAACCAGAGCTTGTTCCTGAAGATTTCATTATAGAAATTCGTGCTAATGCTCACAAAAAAGCAATATCTCCTAACTATTGACTCTTCTCTTGCAGCATGCCAGCTGGGTTTCTTTAAGAATTCATCCCAAAGTCAAGGATGCACTAAATGCCCCCCACATAGTTTCACGCGTGAAGAAGCATCAACATCCTGTATTTGTGAAGAGAATTATTTCCGAAAGGAATCTGATCCACTCACCATGGCTTGTACAAGTGAGTAATTGTTTTTAATATACAGAGTTATAAAATGGTTTTTGAGCCATTTAACTGGAAGTGATTCTCTTGGTTTATCCAGGGGAGACCGTTACAATCCCAGAGCCTTCTTTCTTAAGAAATCAAATTTTGAATTTAAAACTTTGCATAAAGACTAATGAAAAATAAATAATAGGAAGAAAAGTAGGTTCGGTAGAGGTACATCCTGAAGCTTTCCTGAAGCTTTTCAAGGTAAAATTAATGGCAAAAGCAGGTGGCAACAGTAAACTGATCTTGGATGATTTCAAGAAAGCTAAGCAGGGTTGAAACTTGTTAGTATTTGAATGAGAAATTACCAGGAGCATACAGGGTGTTTTTAAGGTGTCCGAATTTGCAAGGTGGTAGACACAGTATTATGATCAAAGCTTCACCCTTTTTATATGCATGTATTGTCACCACTGGCTATAGGCTGGGCTGAACATTTAAGAAGACAATGGTAAAGAACTTCTTCCTTATTCTCAAGAAAACTGTGTGGATATATGCAAATCCTTACCAGGAAGCAAGTTCAACTCAAATATTTCCTTTACCTTTACACATTATCATCTTCATCTTAATCTGTTTTTATATGTTAATGAGGGACACAAAAATTACAAATAGGACTTCATTATTTTATTGATTTTGACTTTAAATTAGTTGTTTTAAATTGGATAGATTATTTCATATCTTCTGAAAGAAAAACCAGGGACATTCTATTTAAAGTCCCATCTACTTTCAATTCAGTCCACTTTTGAAATGGTAGATTTTAAGCAGCTAAATCCCATCTTCAGACATCTATGGAAGGAGACTCAGTGGCCATTTTTTTGTTTGTTCATTCATGTTTTGGTATGCTGATCTTTTATTTCACAGGGTTGTATATGCTTTGAAACTGATTCAGAAAGTACCTCAGACACCTGCTTTTGTTATGTAATAACTGTAGAAACTGTTCATTGACTTTGAACAATTTAAATTTATAAGTGGATAGGCATACATGGGGAAAAAAGCCTTCTGTAATATAGGTAGTGCTTGACTTACAACAGTTTATTTAAAGACTATTCAAAATTGAAATGGCACTGAAAAAATGACTTATGATCATTTTTCACACTTACAACTATTGCAGCATTCCCTTGATCATGTGATCAAAATTCAAACACTTAGCAACTAACTCACGTTATGACAATTGCAGTGTCCCGGGTCATATGGTCAGCTTTCAGTATCTTCTGACAAGCAAAGTCAGTGGGGAAGCCAGATTCACCAAACAACCATGTGACTAATTTAACAACTGCATTGATTTATTTAACAATTGTGGCAATCAAAGTCATAAAATGGGCAAAATTCACTTAACAAATGTTTCACTTAGCAACAGAAATTTTGGGCTCAAAGGTCAAAGGTACTAAGTTGTATTATGATTTGTTTCTTTTGAGTTTGGCATGATATGTAAATTGTACCATTATAGCATTTCTAATAAATCATGGTTGAAAATATGCCTTCAATGTATATCCATTATTTTATGCTCTTCACCTGATGGGAATTACTATGTAATCTCTGTAAAAAATATATATAGATAAACTGAATATCCAGGAAGCAAACAAATAGTAATAAGTACAACTGTGTGCAAAGTGTAAGTAATTCTGCTCATATTGAAAGCCTCAACAAATCTCTAAAGTGAACAGAAGCAAATAAGACCTTTAAGTATTTCTGCAAGCTTGACTGAATATTTTCTGTTTATGCATAAGAATTTGTTGCTAAACCTTACATGAATTAATTGTTATCAGTGGGATAATATGGGAAAATGTTCAAGGGAGACTAGATCAGTGGTGGGTTGCGCCGGGTTCGCACCGGTTCTATAGAACCAGTAGTAAAACTGGCGGGAGGCTCCGCCCACTGACCCTGATATCATGAAAACACCTGCGCATGCACCAAAGCTTCTGTGCTTGCTCAGAAGAGCACGCACGCGGCCCCGTTGCGAACCGGTAGTAAAGGTAAGTAGCACCCACCCCTGGACTAGATGCTATCTAAAGTGTATTTTAAAGCTGTGAGAATCAAGCATCCAGTTTAATAAAAGCTTTTTATTCTCTATTTTCTTAATTATTGTAAGCCATTCTGAATATTTAAAGAAACAGAAAAGTAGTATATAAATATGCATATGTATACATAAAGGTTAAAAAACAAAGTTGTATTTAATTGGAAAAAGGTGGTACATTATGGAAGGATCTAAGTTGCTCAGATAAGGTCACAGATCAGTAATTATATTTATTAGGAATCTTTAACTTGTAATATACTTTGTGACAGTATATGAAATAAAACAAATGTGAATATTCCCTAATGTTTATATTCATATTAGAATTATGATACTCGGTATTGCTGAACAAATTACCAAAACAAATCAGAAACCTTGCTGAAGATTCATATATTTTTTGGCAGCTGCTTGAGGTAATTTCCTCCGCTTCATTTAGCCATATTATTATTTAATTAATTATGATAATCTGTGTGATTCCTATTTATAGATGTTTGGATATAATCAACAACAATTATCAGGTGAAAATCCATTGGTTTAAGTAAAAGAAAACAAGAAAGGTAGTATTAAGGAAAATTTGAAGGAAATGTAAGTAATATTTCCTCAGTCTAAAAATTACTTTTGGTGGCCATGCAAATTAAAATGTTTAATCTAATCTCTACAGTGTAATCTTTGTAATTCCTTGAGTATTTTACTGATCCTTTGTGAAATTCTTGTTTTTGTAGCAGTTTCTCTTTCCTGATAGTGTAGCCTATGAAACTATTGCTGAATGAACTGAATGAAAAATAGACCATTTGCAATTCTGGAATTGATCAAATTGGTTGATTTTTTTTTCTTTTCTCCCTGACAAGTCTATTGTACTTTTCACCCTGTTCATAAGGAAACAAAGAAACAAACTTTCATTATCTTAGAGCTGAGCTGTCAAACTTTAAGCCCACGGACCAGAAGCATCACATCCTGGCCCCACCCGTGCCCAGTTTAGCGAAGGGGAAAAAGTCGCAATTCGTCATGTGACATCGCCGTGATGCTGCAAGTTTGATACTTCTGTCTTAGAGCAACAAAGTAATAAAATTACAGAGGTTTAAGCAGTGAATAGTGACATTACTAAAGTAAAAATGTTGGGTAACCATTCTCTTTCATAGCAGTTTGCTGCTGAAAGTCAGCAGCGTGATTTTTTAAGACTCTGCAAAAAGGGGGAGTGAGCCTAAGGTTTTTTGTTTTTAATCCAAACCTTCGGTTAAAAGAAATATTATTTTACTTTTCTTTTCCATGCATGTTGAGTCAGCAGCCCCCATAATACTCAGCATTACTACACTTGAAAAAAATTAAAAAGTGATTAGCATTTTTCAAAACATCTGTTTCATGTTACATCTGTTTCATGATGGCTGCCTTACAATCTTCTGATAAAAAATTGATCTATTTATCAGACCAATATGCATGATTCATCATTAGCCACTGTACTAATGTCCATTATGTTAACTATTTAGGTGTAGAAGAATGTAAGAAAGAGATAGGATTCTTGTGTATGAACAGTCAAAAAAAAAAAGTGAGAAAGTTCAAAAAGCCTACTGAATACATAAAATCTTGAAAAAGTTAACAGGATCTGACCTTATTAGTACTTACGTGAGAGATCACCAGAAAGCACCAACTGTACACTAACATTGCAAATTGAAAAACCAATTTCTGTATTGTTTCTAAGAAAACAGTATGGATATGTCTGTTGAGAGACAATTTTCAGTTAAGAGACTTCATCTTTTCCTACTATATATAAGCTGTAGGGTGGGTATTGGCATATGATTTATAGGCTTTGAATACTGAGAATTGAAATAATCAGTGATATGGTGAAGGGATATTGAAAGGCAAATAGTGTTAATATGCAGAATTGGTTGGGGTGGGGTGAAATAATTTCAAAAACTGAAATTAATCCACCATATTATTTCATTCAAAATTGGTGTGATACTTTGAATTTATACTCATTTGAATTTAGTAGAATATTTTTAACAGAATCAGCCAATCAGTGGCTTTGAAAATTCACACGTAGGATAAAGGTAATAATCATTTTTGCCTCTCTTCCATTTGCCACCATGTGATATTTAGGGATTTCTTGTCTTGATCCATAAAGTTCCAGTTCAGTTAATATTTAATCCTATTTTCACTTATTTGGCCTTATTTCACTTATTATAAACTGTTTAATCTACTGATTATAGCACATTTTTCATCATAAAGATCTATAAAGTGAATATTCATTGAACCAAATAATTTGTTTCATTTATCCATAATCTATTTTCAGTCAACTATGCAGTGTAAAATACATGAAATCAACTGGCTATGTAGTAGGATAGATTTGGATGAGTTGATACATCATTCATTAGAAACTGTTGCCTTTACTATATCTGTTTTCCAAATAAAGTTGAATTGTTAGTAATAGGAAGACATAGTAAATAAAACTTGCATGAAGCATTTTGGAAAAATTACGTATATGTGGGGAAAGGAACATTGGAGGAAGAGCAAGAGAGGATTGAACGTCTCTCTATTGCCCCTGACTTATGTTATTTATTTATATATCAAACTTCTTAACTGCCTGGCTCCCTCAGAGTCCTTCTTGATAGTGTACAATTTAATCAATATAATAAAACATTAACAACCAAATAATCACGGTTGGATTATTGCAACGTGCTCTACATGGGGCTACCCCTGAAAAGTGTTCGGAGACTACAGTTGGTCCAGAATGGAGCCGCTCGAGCGGTCATGGGTGCACCTAGGTACTCCTACATTACACCAATGCTCCGTGAGCTGCACTGGCTTCCTATCGGTCTCCGGTCACAATTCAAGGTGTTGGTTATTTCCATGAGCGGTGTGTATGGTTTTTTTAACGTCTCTTATTGTATATTGTTCATACTGTCTTTGTTGTAAACCGCCCAGAGTCCTCAGAGAGTTGGGCGGCATAGAAATACGAAAAATTAATTAA